TATTGACACATTTACTTTTCAAATATGTATATGAGCAGAGATCAGATCCTCAAGCCACACTCATTGCAGAGTCGACAGAGGAGCTGAAGGTCCAGATGGGTCGTGTGGCTAGCTTGAGTGAGACTGTGAATGAACTTACAACTAAGTTGAACACTCTCTTGCCTGAGTTAATGGAGTCTGTTGCAGTACACCGCCAGCAGATCACACTGCCTGTCCCCATTCTGGAGAGTATTGAGCAAGGTGAATGTGGTGCGAGTTGGGAGTCTATCATGTGACATGTTGTTTGCATCGTACATAATATTTTCCTCATTATTGATATCTCATTATTAATTTATTTATTTTTTGCTTTATTTGATAAAGGTTTACATTTAAATGAGTTCAGTATTTTATGTTTTTATCTTTTCGTTTCTATTTTTTATATATCTTTTTGGTACAGTGTGTTTATATATACCTTATAAAAAAATCCAGAATAGTATATCATAATTCATAGTTTACAGGTTTTCATTCTATCACAATTCCAGATGGAAAGCCCAACCTCTGTCCTCCAACACCACCTCTGTGTCTTGTCAACACACCTGTGGCCAATGGGGGGCCAAAGTATGCTCCTCTCATGCTCACCCCTGGTTAGTCATACCTGTGGCTGACTGCCTCCTCCTGGCACTTTGCCTGATTTCAGTTGTAGATAGAAAATGATTTGCATAACCTTAGGGGTGTCAGGAATGTTGATAAATGTTGAAAGAACTGATAGTATATCCAGTTGTTTGTCACCCAGTGTACTTGTATGCAATTTACAGGTGTTCACAAACCTCATGCAAGAGGGCCTCAGATGGATGCTAATACCACTCCTAACAGGATGCTCACCACGCATAGTATGACACAAGCTGCCAGAAAGTCGCCCAAGGCCAATGTTCTCTATTCCTCAGCAACCCATAAAGATGATTCGGTTTTGGTAAGTGGCAGCTGTGAATTCTTCATTGGTTGTTTCAAAAGAAAGAAAGAAAAAAAGAAATAAAGAAAAAAAAAGAACTTTAATTCCCAGACAAAAGGGCCTTTTCCATCAAAATTTCCCTTTTGTATTGTTACCAGATTGTAGCTGGGGAAGAAGCTAAAGTTTCTGAGGCAGAGGAAGGGCTAGGAATAGAGATGCTGACAGTGGACTGTCGGGTGCGCTACCAGAGGAAGAAGCAGGAGGAGCTGGAGGCACTGTTGGAAAAGTACCAACCACAGCAAAGCAGAGAAGGTAAGATACTTTGAAAAATTCTAAGCCTGTTTTCAAAATGGCTTTATTAAAAGAAAAATTGTGAGATGTTTGTCTAACAGATATACTTGGTATGGAAGTATAGTTGTAGAGAGGTTTGGAAAAATCATAGTGTGTGGTGTGGTCTTCTACTAAATATGTCGCATACTTCCTACATATCTGAACAGGGAAGAAGACAGCGATCCCAAAAAGAACAAAAATTCCCAAAGAGAACAAGAAACCACTAGAGAACAATAAACTCTCAGACTGTAGCAGTCGCATGACCAAGAAAGTCCTGGCCAAAGTGGAAATGAACGTGAAGGAAACAAATGTGAGAAATGGAAAGGCATTGGCTATATGTCCGAATAATGGAGAGGATCTTGACAGTTCACTGATAAACAGAGTGAGTTATTCTATCTTATTTTACCAAACACCTCTGCCTCTCACCCTCTCTCCCTGTATGTCTTGCCCATCCTCCCTCTCCCTCTCTTTCTTGCAACTCTCCCTCTCTCTGTGTTTCTTGCCCATCCTCCCTCTCCCTCTGTATCTTGCAACTCTCCCTCTCCCTCTGTATCTTGCAACTCTCCCTCTCCCTGTTTCTTGCAACTCTCCCTCTCCCTCTGTATCTTGCAACTCTCCCTCTCCCTGTTTCTTGCAACTCTCCCTCTCCCTCTGTTTCTTGCAACTCTCCCTCTCCCTCTGTTTCTTGCAACTCTCCCTCTCCCTCTGTTTCTTGCAACTCTCCCTCTCCCTCTGTTTCTTGCCCACTCTCCCTCTCCTGCACCCTCTCCTTCTGCACCCTTTCTCCTCCATGCTATTGCCCCCTCTCCCTCTCACACACCCCTCTCCCTCTCCCTCTCCCTCCTCTCCCTCTCCCTCTCCCTCTCCCTCTCCCTCTCCTCTCCCTCTCCCTCTCCCTCTCCCTCTCCTCTCCCTCTTCCTCTTCCTCTTCCTCTTCCTCTTCCTCTTCCTCTTCCTCTCCCTCTTCCTCTCCCTCTTCCTCTTCCTCTCTCCCTCCCTTCCTCTCTCCCTCCCTTCCTCCCCCCCTCCCCCCCTCCCCCTCCCTTTCCTTATCCATCTCTTTCTCTGTCTCTGTCTTTTTCCTGAGCCTTTTTAATCACAATTAATCTTCTATATATGGGGTGAGAGTTGGATCAAAATACATAAATACTTTTTCTCTCAGCTGGCAGAGGTTGTGGCTACTGATGACAATGACAGTGGTGCTGCAGAACTAATGGCAGAGTCTCTTAGTAGTACAAACTCCAAGGAAGGCTTGGCACTAGATTCTGGTATGTGTCAAGAGTGTGTTGCATTTCTAATGTATTGATGCTAAGGGGGCATGTATTTATACACTGTCCACTGTTATTTCATTTTATTTAGTTTGTTTACTTATAGATCCTTCTAAAGTGCTTGGTCATCTGGGAGTGAATTTGAAAGATTGCTCAATCTCTGCTACTTATGCTGTTCCTTGAATTTTCAGAATTGTTTTTTTAATACTATTAATATTATTAATAAGTTATTGCATTGATAATCTTGGTTAATGATTATACCAGTGGTAACAGTAGTAAATAATACTGTAAAAGATGAAAAAGAAATCTGAAAACTTCAGGAATAGGATAAACAATTGAGATCAGGTAGGCCTAGTGATTGACTCCTAGGTTGCCAAGACCTTGTGAAGTCATCTGTGTAAATATAATTGATAAAAGGAAACTCTAGTGGACAGTGCATGTACCCAATTGCCGGTGGGTAAGATTGGACCGATGGTGATAGTTCCTTCTCTCAAAAGCATATGAGGTGGGCTGTTTCTGTTCAGAATGAATCTGACCAAGTAAAACCCAAATTGGTGTGGCTACTTCAAGGATTTATATCACTTTCTTTGTATGATAGAGGAGAATGACTTAACTAAACTGTGCATACCATATGAAAATATGAAAAAAGTAGGAAAGGCAGAGATGATATTTAAATACAAGACATTAAAGTGTATATTGCAGAAGCAGATAAAATAAAGTAGTAATTATTTTATTTATTGAATAACACCAAATCTAAGTATCTTGTTAACATAAAAGAAAAGGTATGCTGAAACACTCAACATTATTATGTTGACTATTGCAATTTAACTCATTCATTGCTATTTATATATATCATGTGTTACTGTAGGTCTATGTCTGTTTGATAGATTTGCATGATGTGAGGGTTTGCAAAGTATATCCAAATTTTTCATTTACAGAAAGCAAAAGTAATTAGATATGCCTTAAGTTCTTAAGAATCTTTTCAGGTTGTGCTGATGGCTCTGGCTCAGAAACACTGTTGGACACCATCGAGAGGATGAGCATAACTCCAAGGAAGAAAAACGAGTGCAGACTTCCTCAAAGCAGACCAGGATCTGCGAAGAAGTATGGCACACCCTTCCGCTCAATTACCCCTAGGTTATCTACTTCTTATACTGAGACCCCAGATATTTCAAAAGACAATGAGGTAACACAACCAGCAAATTCACAAGTCATAAAACTGATTGATTTTACACCATATGGAAAACCAGCCACTAAGATTTGTACACCAATTGGGACACCAACAAGAGATCCTTTCAAGACACCTATCCAGAAACCAGAAGCTGTAGGGAAGAATACTGATGTTTCCAGGCAGCTGCTAGCATCCTTATCTCTAGACAAAAAAGAGGACAATGCCCACGAAGTCCCAAAAGATCTTATGACAAGGATGTCTCTGTTGACTCAGAGTCCAGTGAGAAGTACAGCAATTCCTCAAGGATCAAAGATACTAGCAAAATTCTCAGGACTGGAGCTGCAGGAGGCATCCAGAGGCACCCATGCAACCAGGCAGATGAAAGCTGATATTACAGAGACCAGCCGGGGAGCTGCCATAGTGGAGCTTCGACACCACGCAAAGACAAACCTCTGCAGTCTTATTGAACAGATGCAGAAGATGAAGCAAGTCCACTCAGAAGCAAAAGGGGTAAATGAGACCAGAGCTAGGGGGGGGTCTAAGTCCAAGTTCTTATCTTTTGTAGAAAAACTGAAAGCTGAGAAACAACAAAGTAACAGTGGTAGCGAGAGCAAGTGTTTGAGGAGTCTTAGCAAAGACTTAGAAATAAACACTGACAATAAGGAACCACAGAGTGATACACTGACCTGGAGTAAAGAATCCTCATTAAAGGAAACCGCTGATAAGATTCATCCAGACAGTAAGACAGACTTTTTAAGTAACATGACAAGAATGCAAGACCTTCTTGGTGATTATGAAGATGATGAAGATACGCTCACTGGAAGTTGCTATGATAGTAAGGTAAGCATTGTGTTTTGTTTTACAGAAAAGGGAAATGTCTTGTGACAGTCACAGGCAATAGAAACAGTATTAGGTAAAGGTAGAAATAGCAAAGTGTCATTACTATTTCTTTCACAGAGCTTTGAGGAGACACTGGAGAAAGATGGAGAAATATTCACAAATTCCCGAGATATTGAGAAGACGCTTTTCAAGACACCAGGCAGGCGATCATCGTACCTTTCAGAAGATTCTGTCTTCGACACACTTACTGATGCAATTCTTGTTGGAGAGGCCAAATCTTCTATCTTAAGGGAAGAGGGGGCTAAGGCAGAGGCCCGGAGAGGTAAGGTTATGAAAGTTGCTCTCTCTCTCTCTCTCTCTCTCTCTCTCTCTCTCTCTCTCTCTCTCTCTCTCTCTCTCTCTCTCTCTCTCTCTCTCTCTCTCTCTCTCTCTCTCCCTCTCTCTCTCTCTATCTGCCTCTCTC